GTTTATCAGCCTGGCCATGGCCGAAACATTTAAAGATACCAAACAATGATTAATAAGCAGTTTATTCTTTCAAAATGACCCGACGGACGTGTTTGGGAACGAAAGAGGAAAACACGAAGCTACTTTTTAAGCAATAGCGCGGTTTTATTGCTTATTCTGGACTATAGAGGAAACGGGAGAAGAAAAGGAGAGAGAGAAATGAGTTTTCTGATCACCAGAACAGCAAGGCGTCCCCCGCTGTTTGATTTGACGGTTCTCCGTGTTTCTCCGTGTTTCTCCGCAGTTTGGCGTCGTCCGTCGGTTTGATGCTTTCTCCGCTGTTTTGGCCCCACGAGTGTTTCTCCAACGGGCTGGACACAAAGAGAACGAAGTTTCTTTTGGGCTGAGTTTGACAACTTACAGCGTCTCTGAGAGCTGGATGGAGCTCCGCTCGTTCCCAGTCAGGTCCCGATGGAGTTGGAGTGGTGTTCCAGCGGTTGCGTGGCTCAACTTGGGCACTTAGAGCTTCCGCGTGCTCAAGGGAGTCGGAGCGTTCGACAAGCGTGTCCTTACCGCCAGGTATCCTGGGCAAAAGAACGAGGTTTCTTTGTCTTTGCTGAAGATTTATGGTCTTAATTCGCGGGAAAGCTCCACGGCCTCCCGCACATGCGCAGAACGTGTTTCTGGTATTAGGCGGTGACATCATCCCAATGCTTCCGTGTGCAAAGCATCATGGGAAATGAAGTTTCTTGGCGCTGATGTGATTATTTGCTTTTCAAAGCAATTTAAGCACAGTCATTTTGGAGAAAATCACTGCATAGTAATTTCCTCATGAGGTCAGACCCTCAACAGCTCAATGTCGGTGGACACGGTCAGGGAATTAGCTCTTTGCGTTGTATTCAAGGTAAGTTTATTTTTATTTTTTACATAGAAGTGGTGAAATTGTTTTTGGTGAAGCTAAAGAGTGTACCCCTCCTCCCTCTGTCTTGCACAATAGCTTCCCTGTCAAGCTAGCAAACTCGAATGTTATTTAATGGAGGGTAACGTTTGCTAAGAGTAACTTGGCTAAAACCATTAAAATTTTGGTTACGTTTCCACTGTCTAACTTAAGGGAAATTTTACCGAAACTTTCTGGTATGTGTGGATCTAGACGAGCAGAGCCAAGCCGACCTGACCGGGCTGTTTTAGAACTCGGGGAGGACCGTGTCGGCTGGGCGGCTGTCGGATACTCAGACCGCGCTAGACCAGAGTTCTTGGTGAGCCTCCCCACCCTTCTGACCGAGGTGTTTTGGAGCTACCAGTCAGGTCCTCAGGGCTCATCCGACTACAACGTCAGATCAGATGAGACGACCCACTTAATTTCAGCAAATTACTAATAGTCAGAGTTGGAAGTGATGCGTTACATAAATAATTAATTACTGTAATGCATTACTTTTTGCTGTAACGCAGCAATGTAAGGCATTACAGAAACGAATTAGCTAGTATTTGACTCGGTACAAATATCAGTAAGGCGCATTACAATGTGTTTTTAACCTGGATGAAGCGATGTTTTTTACATGAATTTGCCGAAATCACGAGATCAACAGAAAACAAAAGTCCGTGCAATTTTTTTTTAACACGTCCTGTCATCAGACCAGCCGGGTACATCAAAACACAGTAATGTTTTTCCTGTTTAAAACACACATGTTGAAAAAAATGTAAATGACTGTGTGTGTGTGTGTGTGTGTGTGTGTGTGTGTGTGTGTGTCATTGCTGTGGAGTTGTACTTATCAAATTATGCCACTGTAACTCAACACCAACCTGTGCTGCACATGCATACTGCACCCTAGTGGAGGATCTACAGATCAGTAAATGAGATTTTTATACACTCACCTAAAGGATTATTAGGAACACCTGTTCAACTTCTCCTTAATGCAATTATCTAATCAACCAATCACATGACAGTTGCTTCAGTGCATTTAGGGGTGTGATCCTGGTCAAGACAATCTCCTGAACTAACTGAAGGTCAGAATGAGAAATAAAGCTGATTTAAGCTATTTTCAGCGTGGCATGGTTGTTGGTGCCAGACGGGCCGGTCTGAGTATTTCACAATCTGCTCAGTTACTGGGATTTTCACGCACAACCATTTCTAGGGTTTGCAAAGAATGGTGTGAAAAGGGAAAAACATCCAGTATGCGGCAGTCCTGTGGGCGAAAATGCCTTGTTGATGCTAGAGGTCAGAGGAGAATGGGCTGACTGATTCAAGCTGATAGAAGAGCAACTTTGACTGAAGTAACCACTCGTTACAACCGAGGAATGCAGCAAAGCATTTGTGAAGCCACATCTATGGGATTAGATTTGTGCCAATAGGATCAAGAAAAACACTTTGGAGAGCAAACAAATTTTAAGACATTGAGAGAAAAAAACATGTTTCAAAAGTAAAACTTACTATCTGAATCAACTTCTTAAAATGAGTAACAAAGTATGTCTCCTTTTTCTGTTTGCCTCTATGTGTTTTTGTTATCAATTTCCTTAGTTTCGTTCTCGCTGCTCAGAGCTTTGCTCTCACTACCAGATTTGCACTTACACTGTCTGGCTTTCTCCTTTGCAATCCCTGAGTTTTTGGTTGCAATTCTGACACAACCCTTTCGGGTGGGCGGGACTTCTGAGAAGTCCTCTCCCATAGAACAGTGGTGTCTCTTGAGTGACAGTTCAGTGACCTGGAAGTGATGTAGCCTCCAAGACATTTTTTTTTCCACCTGGTCAACAACATGAATTTTGAGCCCCAAACAGGTTATTTCTGCTGTCTGTGGTGTCTACTGAGGATCTAAAGTGAGTATTGATAATATATTTTATCTTTTCTTAGTTAATCTGTAAGTTAAACCACTTTTTAAGTTGGTTTTAACCAGACGTTAGCTCACTAGCTAGCTGCTAAGCAAGCCATTGTGCTAGCCTCAGGACAATGGTCTATTGTTCCAGAGAGACGTATTAAAAACTCATCTTAACATATTCATTACTGGTTTCATGGAATAAATTATTGCAATTTATGTTAATAAGTTTGCTAATTTTTCAGGAACCTGTGGAACATCAGAGACTTTGCAGCTATTAGAGCTAACCTGTGTACTGCTAACTTGCTACAGAGGAAGCAGCAGAAAGCTGAGCTAACAGGCTGTTTTGCAGGTAAATACTCTTTTAGTGGAACTGCAGGATTTTTATGGTATAACTCAGAATCTACATGAGCTACTGTGGGAAGACATTTAAACTACATTTACATACAGATAAATGTATTTTTTATTCCATGTTACTTGGACGGGCTAAACAAGTTCATAGTTCTGCCTGCTCCTTTTTCAGTGAAACGAATGGATTATATGATGTAACTCTCTAGTAAATCTATAGTAACCATAGTCTGGTGACTAGTGTCTGTCTAGTTTAGCTACATTTAGCTTAGCTGGAGTAATATAGTCTAACTCTGCCTCAACTGGTGACTTTTCTACTTCATTGTCAGCCAGACAAAATGTTGCTGCAGAGAAATGCCCAAAGTACTGACCCCACAATAGAAAATCATAATGTCCACATTTATTTCCCACAATCTCAAACGTCACACTAAGGCCTAGTCCACACGTAGCCGGGGTTTTTTGAAAACGAATATCCGCCCCTCCAAAAACTTCCATCCACACCACCGCGTTTTAAAAACAAACTCTGTCCACACGTACCCGGATAAATACGTTGTTATGGACATGCCAGTCCTGTAGGCGGCAGTACTTCCCCCATTCTTAACCTCGTCCTTCGTCTATGGTCTTCCGCAAGGAGCAGTAATTCCGCTTGAAAAAACAAACAAGCAGAAAGCGCTTGGACGATTGATGGATCGGGTAGTGACAGAGCGCAGCTCTGAAAGCTTCCGTGATGTCGGCTAGTGTAAACACAGGTCGCACACGTGATGTCAGCATTTTTTTGTCATGGAAAGTGACGTTGCGGACCTTAAAACTCCGGTTTTGTCCGTCCACACGCAGACACCCAAAACGGAGAAAACGCAGATCTTCACTTTGGCCGGAGTTTTTAAAAAGATCCGTTTTCGTGTGAAAAAACTCCGTTTTCGTGTGGATGACAGGCCAAAACGTAGGAAAATATCTACGTTTTGGCAGATCCCCGGCTACGTGTGGACAGGGCCTAAAATTAAACTTTTAGCTCTGATTTAATCATTTTCTTATATCAGTTTTCCCTTTGTTGTAGGTAATCCTCGGGTGTCAGCAGGAGGAGGTGACCACCTGCATAACGGAGCACCCTGGTTCTGAGCCAGTTGCACCTTTGTGCTGCTCTTTGGGGAGGCGATGCTCAGCAGGTTAAACAACTGTAAAATTGATTTTGTTCGTAGATTTTGTTTAGATCTCATACATCACCAGTTTTTCTTTCTTACAGACACATGCCTCCATGTGGTCAGGTGGTGTTGGTGTGATCTGGGAGGGCACACTCATGTTGTCATCTCCTTGTGCCGTCTCCAGGATCCTGATGGGAGTTTTCTGTGCCTATAAAGCAGGGGTATTTACTTCTGGGCCTGGAGGGCCGGTTTCCAGCACGTTTTAGTTTTAACTCTGTTTCAACACACCTGATTTCAGTCAGCAGATAATTAACAGGGTTCTGAAGAGCTGCTGCACAGGTAATTCAACCACTGATTCAAGTGTGTTGGAGCAGGGAAACAACTAAAACGTGCTGGATACCAGCCATCCAGGACTAGAATTGAATACCCCTGCAATAAAGCCTTCCTCCCTCCTCTGGACTTTAAACATTAGTATTTTATTATGGTTTACCTGATTTAGTAAATAAATCTCAATCTAAATTTCCTGTTATGGTGCCTGTCCATAAAATCCTGCATTAAACACCGAAAGCTGAATGGATGCCTTTCATTCACTTTGACATTCAATGTATTTTTAAAGATACACTTGAAATTAATATCAGCTGTTTTAACAGAGTGGTGCAAAAATAATTGCTAATGTCATGATTTTTGCAACAACCTGACCTTCATGCAGAGAAACTCAGGAGACAAATGAGCTAAAAACAGTTTATTAAAATGTTTGACGGATGACTGAAGAGGTAACAGCTGGAGATCAGGAACCAGAAGCTTCTGCGAGGAAGAGCAGAGGTTAGTAAGAGGAAACAGGTCAGGTTATTCTTAGACTGTGCAGGTAGCTTACAGAGACTGAGAAATGCCACAGAGATGTAGCCACAGGTTTTAGTGTTTAAAGATCAGAAGGCCCTGAGGTAAAACTGAGTGTTAGTAATGACTAAAGAGAGACTTACAAAAGGAAAAGTTTAGGTACTTACGGTCTGAAGTTGTAAAGCAGATGGGAGACAGCAGAATGGTGGAGAAACAACCAGAAGTCTGGGAGAATGACAGCATGAGTTGCAAGCGGGTGAGCAGAAGGTAGTGGGTAAGCCGACTGCCAGTATAGTTGTGTGATCAGGAGCTTCAAGGAAAGAATTCCCATAGATCTGCATAGAAAATGAGAACGTAAGTTTGAAAAACGGCAGAGTCATGGGCTAGATATGGGTTAAAACACTGATGAGTGACCAGCTACCAGCTTTTATTCAAGGATGGGGTTACAGGTGTGTGAGGATGTGCCTGCCCCATGAGAAGAGTTTTCAGGTAAGCCTCTCCATGGTGCTCTGCAATGGTGACTAGCAAGGCTAAGGAAGAGATTAAAGGGAACACAAACCCAGGACTCCGACCCAAACTCCTAACAGCAACACAACGACTCCTCCCACAGGCGGTTGTTCCACGGGAGTACAAGCAGCTGCCCTAAGTTCAGCATCAGGCAACCTGTAGGCGATGTAATCATACGTGGCTTCTGAGCATGCAAGTTTACTCTAGCTGTACAGCGTACAATAATAATAAAGATTTATATTGTGTTGTGTTGCTCACCTTACGGGTTCTTTTAAAATCTTAACCTGTGCTTGCTTACAGCAGGTCTTTCAGGTCTTTTGAACTAGACACAGAGAGGTTCAGGCACAGGTACTTAGTCAGACTCCTGATATGATAGAGCATCCACCACCATCGACTCCTGATATGATAGAGCATCCACCACCACCGACTCGAACAATAGGTCCATATGCTTGTCAACTGGAAACAATGGAAAAAGATTACCATTAGTACAGATATTTATCCATAACCATCACTGTGGGTTTATTATACAGCATATGAACTACATGAGGTGACATTGGTCTGCAGTAGGGCTGTGTATTTTTGACTGAATTTATTGTAGAAATATTCAATAAACAGTCCAAACTGATACATAACATATATAACATGAGTTATCTGAACCATAATAGCGAGATTTAAATTTCAATGGTGGAAACAAAACCCAATGCACACTGCTGCCAACTAGCGGGCGACATTTAAAGTGCACCAAAAACAAAGAAAATACACAAATGTTTGCATGTAAATTCTTCCAAAAATTAGATACACTACTTTTGAAAATGGATGTAATATCTCAGGAAAATATATCGCGATATATTGTCATATTGATATTTTCTTACATCCCTTGTCTGCAGTGTACTTTGTGTACACTATGGTGTGTCTTAGCTCACCAGCTGCAGTTGATGCATGTGGCCGTGTAGCACTTCCATTGTAGTGCAATGCAGTAGTTTTCAATCTAAAAAGAAAGAATAAATAAATAAAAAATAGCTTTTAGACAAAAATATAGATTTTATGTAAAAATTAATTAAAAGCATGTATTTAACTCATTACTGATTATCTGTCCTGGATAACATTCTTTTGATGGAGAATACAGAGCACGTGACAGAAAGCACATTGAATCTGATTTGTCTTGTTCTGACAAAAAAATGTCAGATCTGTATACTGGAAAGAAATGTATTATCAAACACACTCACTTAGATAATTATTCAGTCAGAGTTACATCATAAAATCCATTCGTTTCACTGAAAAAGGAGCAGGCAGAACTATGAACTTGTTTAGCCCGTCCAAGTAACATGGAATAAAAAATACATGTATCTGTATGTAAATGTAGTTTAAAAGTCTTCCCACAATAGCTCATGTAGATTCTGAGTTATACCATAAAAATCCTGCAGTTCCACTAAAAGAGTATTTACCTGCAAAACAGCCTGTTAGCTCAGCTTTCTGCTGCTTCCTCTGTAGCAAGTTAGCAGTACACAGGTTAGCTCCAGTAGCTGCACAGTCTGATGTTCCACAGGTTCCTGAAAAATTAGCAAACTTATTAACATAAACTGCAATAATTAATTCCATGAAACCAGTAATGAATATGTTAAGATGAGTTTTTAATACGTCTCTCTGGAACAGTAGACCATTGTCCTGAGGCTAGCACAATGGCTTGCTTAGCAGCTAGCTAGCGTCTGGTTAAAACCAACTTAAAAAGTGGCTTAACTTACAGATTAACTAAGAAAAGATAAAATATATTATCAATACTCACTTTAGATCCTCAGTACACCACAGACAGCAGAAATAACCGGTTTGGGGCTCAAAATTCATGTTGTTGACCAGGTGGGAAAAAAATGTCTTGGAGGCTACATCACTTCCAGGTCACTGAACTGTCACTCAAGAGAAACCACTGTCCTATGGGAGAGGACTTCTCAGAAGTCCCGCCCACCCGAAAGGGTTGTGTCAGAATTGCAACCAAAAACTCAGGGATTGCAAAGGAGAAAGCCAGACAGTGTAAGTGCAAATCTGGTAGTGAGAGCAAAGCTCTGAGCAGCGAGAACGAAACTAAGGAAATTGATAACAAAAACACATAGAGGCAAACAGAAAAAGGAAACATACTTTGTTACTCATTTTAAGAAGTTGATTCAGATAGTAAGTTTTACTTTTGAAACATGTTTTTTCCTTTAGTCAATATTTTTGTTCTGTCAATTTCTTAATTTTTGTTTGACTGTCAAAGTGATTTTCTTGATCATTTTAAGAATCTGATTCAGATCGTAAGTTTTTCTTTTGAAACCAATTTTTTTTCTCTCAATGTCTTAAAATTTGTTTGCTCTCCAAAGTGTTTTTCTTGATCCTATTGGCACAAATCTAATCCCATATGCAATTTTTGGTACTTTCGGGTTGAGACCAATTTTTAGAGCCGCAATGTGGGGGCTTGTGCTGGACTGAAATAAATGGTTTTTAGTTGGTGAAATCAACATATGTGACAGTTGGCAGTACTATACCCCCAAGAAGGTGAAGCAATGAAGCAATAATGCAAACAAAACGATAACGACGACGAGCTTCAGTACGTGGGACAAGGAGAAATGGCAGGTGCGCATGGTGACAGAAAAGAAATATCGTAGTTGATACGCTCTGTCATAAAGGAAGAGATCAGCATTGTGATTAATAAACTGAACGTGATTATGGATGATATTTCTACTTGTGTGAGAAGACTGGGTGATGTGGAGGAGATTTGACCTAAACTGGACAGTCGGATGTCAAAGCTGGAGTCGGAGAATGCTACGCTGAATAAATCCAATGCCGAGCTGAGAGAGAGGATGGAGCAGCTTGAAATACAGAGCTGCAAATACAACCTTCATGTGTTCAGATTGTCTGGTGACATTGGAAAAACTAACCTGACTACTTATATGGACACGCTGTTTAAAGAATTGTTCAGAGGAAAACTTATGCGGGAGCCAGAAGTGGAGATGGTGCACTGGATTGGACCTAGGAGGGACGCAGTAGGAAGAGCGATGATGGTGCGGCTGTGGAGGCTTACAACAAAGGAGGAGATTATAAAGATGGCCAGAGAAGAACGTGTTTTCCAACTGCGTGGTATGAAGCTGAAGATGTTTCCAGATCTTACCAGTGAAATGGCGAAAAACGAGCTGGCTTCTGCGAAATAAGGAGTAAGCTAAAGAGGGCTCAGGTGAGACATGGACTGATTCATTCCGCTTCCCTGATTCTGACTTTCAAAGATGAGATAAAAAGGTTGAATGAACCGAGTGAGGCTGAAGCTTACTACAAGACTGTGATTGAACCAGGGAAGAAGGATGGAGAATAATATGGACTAATCAAAGACAGTTTAACGAGTTTAACTGCTTAGGTTATGTGATGATAATGTTTAATTTTTATATAAATGTTAAATAACACCGCAAGATGGAAATGATAGCCCACATAATAAGAGTTATATAATTTGGTTATTTATGTGTCTAGAGTTGGCATATAAAAATGTTTTATTTCATTACAGTGTTTGAGTTTGAGATGAAAGACAGTATGATTGTATTTGGTAAAATGATAAAAATGTTACAGGAAGCTTAGTATGATTTTTGCAGTCAGGAATTTATTCTAGATTTTGGATGACAGATCATGTTTGGTTGCGGGAAAAGGGGTTTAAGGGGTTTTATTCAAGAAATTTTACAAAGTTTTAATTTACATGGGGCTGCGCAGTGGCGCAGTGGTTAGAGCTGTTGCATTGCAGTGAGAAGGTCCTGGGTTCGATTCCCGACCTGGGATCTTTCTGCATGGTGTACCCCGTCTACTTGCCCGTTGATTGCTGGAGATAGGCATCATAATATTGATATCAAATTGTTAAAATTAGTAGTAGATTTTGTTTCATGTCCTATTGTTCATATAATGAATGGAAGTTTTAAAGAAGGTGTTTTCCCATCTCAATGGAAAACAGCAAAAATAATACCTTTAATTAAGAACAATAGAGAACCACTGTCTGGTCAAAATAGTCGACCAATAAGTTTGCTACCAGCTTTAACTAAAAATATGAAAAAAAAATGCATATGACCAAATGCAAGATTATTTTGAGGTATATGAATTGAACACAATATATCAACATGCTTACAAAACAAATCATTCAACCACTACTGCACTTATTCAAATAACTGATTATTGCTTAGAGAATATCGATAATAATAAGCTAACTGGTTCTATATTTCTTGATTTAAGTGCGGCTTTTGATGTTTTAGATCATGATATTTTATCACAACAACTTAAACACTATGGATATCATACATCTGCCCTCAACTGGACTAAAAGTTATCTTACTAAAAGAGATTATAAATTTTATTTCAATGGCAGTTTTTCTGAAAAAGGTCAGATGGAATGTGGTGTTCCACAGGGAAGTTGTTTGGGACCTCTTTTGCTTTCTATTTTTTTTAATGATTTTCCGGGGGGGCTGCAACATGCAACTACAGTATATTTATGTCGATGCTACAGCAGTATATGCAGATGACATTACTGTTTTAGCTTCAGCACATACGGAGAGTGCATTGAATGAAATATTAAATAAAGAGTTAAGAACAGTCGAGCAGTGGATAATGTCACACCCTGTCCTGTCTCCCCGTTTGGTTCTGCCTTGTGTCTCCGTTGATTGCTCCCACCTGCCTCTCATTTCCCAATTAATTTAGCTCCCGGCCCTCGTGTATTTGGACCCCTTCTGTTCTGTGTCTCGTGTCGGATCATTGTTTCACTGTCCAGCGTATCTCCAAATAAATGATTGTTAAACGTTCCTACCTGTCTGCCTGTCTTCCTCTCCCCGTTTTGGATCCTCACCTATTCTCCGCTTCATTCGCCGGCAAGTGTGACAGATAACTGCTAACAAACTAGTGATTAATGCAAGAAAAACTAAATGCATGGTAGTTGGCTCCAAACATGCTTAACAGACGATGCCAAAGTTACATTTAACTCTGAGTAACAACGTAATGGAACAACTAGAAGAAGTAAAATTACTGGGAGTAATAGTTGATTGTAAGTTATCATGGACAAGCCAGATTAATTATGTTTTACAGAAAATGGGGAGAGGTATGGGCATAATTAAATTTAGTTGCAAATATATACCACAATACTTATTTAAATGCCTTGTTCAATCATTAGTACTTTCTTGTGTAGATCAAGCATCTATTATTTGGTCCAGTACAAGTGAAAATAATTTGCATAAGCTACAAGTAGCATGTCAGGGACCGAGCAGTAAAACTCCAGGACAATGGTATAAAAAGAATATCTTCTCCATTTATTTCATAAAGAATTAAACAAAATCAAAACAAAAACGGGCCCAAAGGAAAAAATGGCCACAAAAATAACCTTAACTAAAAGTAGCAAGCAAGACTGCCCAAAGCTGAGACACACAAGGGAATTTATACACACAGGCTAGCCTACAGACAACGAGGAGGGGAGAGACAAGGGAAACACTAAGACAAACAGTAAATAAACCTAGGAAACTAAGTCAACAAAGTACAAATACCACAAAAAAAACTTTAACTAATACATCCTAACAAAATCTGGTAAACTCAATAGAGCTTTAGAACGTCTGGTTTCTGGTTTCTTCATTATCAAGCTCCCTGCTTCCAGGAGCCAGATGGAATGTTCCACTTCCTGCCTGGAGTTACACTGGGCGTGTCCTCTCGCTCTGCCAGTTCATCCAATCTCAGGAATACAAATGAAAATAGTTAATCAAATAAACTATGTATAAGATAAATTACTAAATGTGTGCACCCATTAGTAAACATCTTACAATATTGCCAAAATAAAATAATAAACCAGCGTGTGGAAAAAGATATTTAAATAATACTAACACTGAGAAATGGCTGGAGGAACCTCCACACACCCCCCCTCCTCTGGAAACTCCATGGGCCAGCGGGACAGGTAGTCAGCAGTGGAGTTTTGCTTCCCTGGTATGTGATGAATCTCAAACTGGAAGGGTTGCATCGCCAGGTACCAGCGAGTTATTCTGCTGTTTGAGTCCTTCATCCTCTCAAGCCACTTCAGAGCCTTGTGGTCCATTTCTAGGGTGAATCTTCTCCCCAACAGGTAGTATTTGAATGAATCCAAAGCCCACTTAACAGCCAGGCACTCCTTTTCTACTGTTGAGTAGCGGGTTTCTCTTGGGAAAAGTTTCCTGCTTATGAAAGCAATCGGATGTCGTCTGTCTGGAGGCCCTTGAAGCAACACAGCTCCTAGGCCACGATCAGATGCATCCGCCTGCAAAACAAATAGTTGTTCGAAGTCTGGACAATGTAACACTGGAGGTCCACTTAAGGCATGTTGGATGTCCTCAAATGCCATCTTCGCTTCGTCTGACCACTCAAGCTGGTTAGATCCTTTGAGGCTGGTCAGATCTGTAAGCAGAGCAGCTCTGGCAGAGAAATTAGGGATGAATTTATGGTACCAACCCAAAATGCCCAGAAATGATCTCAGTTGCTTTCTGGTTTGTGGCAAAGGGCATGACTGAATGGCTTGAACCTTTTCAATCTGAGGCTTAATGACTCCATTGCCAATAATGTGTCCCAGGTATTGTACTTCCTTCTTCGCCACCATGCATTTAGCTGCATTCACAGTCAGACCTGCAGTGTGAAGACACTCAAACACAACTGTGAGATGTTCAAGATGTTCCTCCCAGCTGTTACTGTAGATGACAATATCATTCAAGTAGGCAGATGCAAAGTGAGATTTTCCTTCCAATACCTTGTCCATAAGTCTCTGGAACGTTGCAGGTGCTCCATGCAGCCCAAACGGCATGACTGTAAACTGGTAAAAGCCCCAGGGTGTTCTGAAGGCAGTCAGCTCACGGGATCTAGTGGCAAGAGGAACCTCCCAATAACCCTTGGAGAGATCAACGGTGGTAAGATATTTTGCTCTGTCAAGACAACCAATTAGGTCATCAATACGAGGAGTTGGGTAAGAATCAAATTTAGAAACGTTGGTTACATATTGTAACCCCAGATTCTATGAGTCTAGTCGCAGCCCTTAAGCTAGCTGCTATTGGAAGGATGATCTCCGCATCAGCCAATCATGAAGAGCTAAAATGTACGCCCACCAATAGTGGGCCCCCTCGTGGTATATAACCGCAGTGACCCCACTGCTCACCTCCAATGGCTCTTATTCCCATCATAACCAGTGGGGCCAGTGGCTTAAGGGCTGCGACTAGACTCATAGAATCTGGGGTTACAATACGTAACCAACGTTCTATTTCGTCTAGTCTTAGCCCTTAAGCTAGCTGCTATTGGAATAAAGCGCAGCTGGATGGGTTTATGCCCCACTGGTTAACACAACCAATGGACACACCCAATCAAATCTCCTCTAGTGGGGGACGTTCAGCCTCAGACCAGGCTTAAAGACTGAGGCAGCCACGATAAAAGAGGGGCCCCCACTAAAAAACATAATCCACAAGAGGATGAAATCCATCTCAGCAAGGCCAATGAGGTGCCATAAGCATTCATTTAGCCTGCTGGGGTCCAAGCACTGAACGAGTGATGGAACCTGAAGACACATCTCGTAAATAATAACGAGTAAAGGAACAGGGTGAAGCCCATGAAGCAGCCTGACAAATGTCTTCCATTGACACACCACTGAGGAGCGCCATAGAAGAGGAAATCCCTCTGGCTGAGTGAGCCCTGAGTGCCTCAGGGGGATCCTGCCCTGATGATGTGTAAGCGAGGGAAATGGCGTCACACAGCCAGTGTGAAAGACGCTGGGCCGACAGCGCCTGACCAAGGGAAGACTCCCTGTAGTGCACAAACAGGTTTTGTGAGCGACGAATCCCTGAAGTGCGTGACACATATCGTGCAAGCGCGCGCACCGGGCAGAGAAGGTGCGAAGCCGCCTCCTCCCCAGAATTATGGGGAGGAGGAAAACGTCCAGCCAATGAAATTGACCTGGATTTGAAGGAAGCATTAATGCTTTTGGGCACAAAGGCTGGGTTGGGGCATACAACAGCAGACCCGCCATCCTCCCGGATCCTGAGGCATGCGGGAGCCACTGAGAGGGCGGTCAGGTCACTCACTCTCTTAACTGATGCCAGCGCCAGCAGCAATGCAGTTTTAAGCGACAGGAACTTGAGTGAGACCTGATCCAAGGGTTCAAATGGAGCTTCAGATAAGCCGCGCAGAACCACCGTTAGATCCCACTGGGGAAATAGCAGGCGGGACACAGGTCTGTTCCTCCTGACACCTTTTAGAAAACGTTTTGTGAGGGG